GCTCTTCCACTATAGTCACAGCTAGTCCTCACAGCCAGTTGAACTGGAGGTCAATTCCTCCCAGTGACACCAACAGCAATCAGGGCTCAACTACAACAAGACTGTGCACACAGCCCACACAGGGGTGTACCTGAAGTGCTCAGCTTAGGTGACTGGGGAGGCTGAGCCACTGGGCTCTATAGGACACTAACTACACAAGGCCACTCTACCAACTCCAGGAGACATAGCAGCTCTACCTAATACATGGAAACAAACACAGGGAAGCAGCCAAAATGTGGAGACAAAGAAATATGTCACAAATGAAAGAACAGGAGAAATCTCCAGAAAAAGAATGAAATGAAATGAAATGGAAGCAAGCAAACTACTAGATACAGAGTTCAAAGCAATGGTTTTAAGGATGCTCAAGGAACTTAATGAGAATTTCAAGGAATTTAGTGAGACTTTCAAGGATCTTAGTGAGAACATCAAAAACATGAAAAAGGACCAGTCAGAAATGAAGGATAATTTACAGGGAATCAACAGTAGAGTAGAGGACACCAAGAATCAAATCAGCAATTTGGAATATGAGAGAGCAATAAACACCCAAACAGAAGAGCAAATAAAAGAAAATAAAAGAATCCAAAAATATGAAGCTAGTGTAAGGAGCCTCTGGGACAACTTCAAGCATACAAACATTCTCATCATCGGGGTACCAGAAGGAGAAGAGAGAGAGAAAGATATTGAAAACCTATTTGAAGAAATAATGACAGAAAAATTCCCCTACTTGTGAAAGAAATAGACTTATACTAGTAAGTCCAGGAAGCACAGAGGTTCTCACATAAGAGGAACCCAAAGAGGCCCACACCAAGACACATCATAATTAAAATGCCAAAGGTTAAAAACAAAGAGATAATGTTAAAAGCAGCAAGAGAAAAGCAGTTAGTTATCTATAAGGGAGCACTCATATGACTCAGCTGATTTCTCAACAGAAACTTTTCAGTCCAGAAAGGAGTGGCAAGAAATATTCAAAGTGATGAATAGCAAGAAGCTACAACCAAGATTACTCTACCCAACAAAGCTATCATTTAGAACTGAAGATCAGATAAAGAGCTTCACAGACAAGAAAAAGCCAAAGGAGTTCATCACCATCAACCCAGTATTACCTTAAATGTTGAAGGGTATTCTTTAAAAAGAGAAAGAAGGAGAAGAAGAGGAAGAAGAAGGAGAAAAAGGTAAAAAATATGAACAATAAAATGGCAGTGAATACATATCTATTGAAAATTGAATCTAAAAATCAAAATAAAGGAACAAAGAATCTAATGAACAAATAGACTGATAAGTAAAATAGAACCAGAGGCATGGAACCATGGAGCAGACTGATGTATCTCAGAGGGAAGGGGGGAGGGGGGCGGGAAGAGATTAACCAAGGATTTCTATGCATATAATATGCATTCCTATGGACACAGACAATAGGGTGGTGCAGGCCTGGGGTGGGGCGGGAACCAGGTGGAGGGAGGCAATGGGGGAGAAAAGGGGAACATCTGTAATATTCCCAACAAGAAAGATGTTTTAAAAAAGGATACTCGATGTCTCAAATTGTTTTGATTTAGCAACTTTAAAATGAAGCTGTATGCATTGGCTTTCACTTGTCTTCTCTTCCATGATTTTGTTAGAAATGTGTTGGTGGTGCAGTCCTTGAGCCATTGGCACCCACCTAACTGAGCCACCTGGCCCGGGCGACAGTGTATTTTAAATGTATTATTAGGTTACTTGTTAGCATCAGGACTAATGGGGCTCCAGAGAGGGCTGAAGAGCCTGTCCTCTGGGTCAGCTGGTACAGGACAAGCTCCCTGTATGGTTTCTGCTGGCGAGCTCCCATCGCCTCGCTCTTCCTTCCCCGTGTCTCCTCCAGAACCATGAGGGCCTCCTCTCCTTGTCACAGTTTCCTCCTGTCCGTGGGTAGGTATTTCCTGTTGTCCCACCTGCTATCGGAGAACAGGAGGTGTCTTTGGTCTTGCTTGCATTTCACGCATCTTTTGGGTCTGTCTCTCTGCTGAAGACACTCATTTAGGGGAACTGGGGAAACAGTCCAGCCAGGCCTGTGACGTCTGTTCCAGTTGTATTTTTATTTCCGAGTGAGGAATACGTTTGCTTTTGTGATTGCTAATCTCGCTTCTGCGCTTGAATGACTTGCTTTCTATTAGTCTTTTCGTTCCATGCCACGCACTTTAGTGCCTTGATTTCCTTTTGGTGGTTAACTTTCATGCCTTCTCATCTACCACTTCTGCACTAACTCCCCAGAATTCCTGAACCTAATAAAAAAAATCCCAAACATCCCTTAAGCACAACCATCTACTTCTCCAGCTCCGTTGCTCAAGTTCTTTTATTGCAGCTGCTTCTCCATGGGAACCTCCACTCCCATCCATCACCCATCCTGGTTTCTCTGGTCTCTGGTGTACTTAGGGTTCATGGGCAGTCATTTCACTCTTGCTAATGCCTAAACCAGTGTTGCTCAAATAGTGGCCCAGGGATTTCTGGGCATTGGTGGTTAAATCCCTGGGGCAGATGAGGTTACCTATGCAGCTTGTGGAATGAGAATCGATATCTGGTTCAGCCCAGGAATCACAGAGAAGGATGACGTTTAAAGGCTGGCAGGAGGGGGAGCCAGTGATGTTGCTTGGGAGCGCAGGAGAGGAGGAGGAAGCATGTGGCTTGCAAGTTGCTGCGTGGAGGTTGAGTGAATTTGTGAACTGGGCTGTTGGGTCGCTGCTGACCACTGCCAGGGCATGCCGAGTTGGGCAGTGGGTGTGAGGTGACACTGGTGGCTGGCAGAGTGAGGGAGGTGGAGAGTGAAGTCTGAAGGTGTAGGCTGTAAAGGACATCAGATGTCTGCCTGCATTGGCCTCAGCTCTGGGAACCAGGCCACTTGTCAGACAGCGCCCCCAGGCCTCCCATGCTGCTTGGAGTTCTGGACTAGTGGGCCTGGAACTTTAAAGGCTATTTCATCTCACCGTGCTGCTCTTGTCTGGTATATTTCTCTACTCCATTTAATCTCCCACTCTCCATGAATTTGCTTCCATTTCGTTGACAACACAGAAGCCACCAGAAGAGAATATTTTGGTCTCCACCACTCACGTGCTTACCACCCGCAGCGGCACTTGTATGTCTGTCTCCTGCTCTTCCTCCTCTTCCTGCTTCTCCTCTCCCTCCTCTTCCTTTCAGGTGGATTTTATACCTAGCCCCTCAACTTGGGCTCATTTCTTCAGCAAGTCTATGTTTTTTCTCTCACATCAGTGATTTCTCTTTCCTGGCTATTCCTAGAACCATTGTAACTTTTCCCAACGTAAAAACCGCTCATGATTTCCCACTTCCTTCATATCTCCTTTGCTTCCCGTTATCATAAAACTCCTGGCAGAGCTGTCTGCTTATATTTGTTTACAGTTCTTTCATTATCAGCTTCGGTCAGGCTTTGCCTTCCAGCCCTCCAGATCTCTATGCTTTGCCCTCTCCTCGCCTATGACTTTCCTCAGATGTCACCTTGTTAGTGAGGTGGCCCTCACCCTCCTGGTACTCCCTGTCCCCTCCTCCTGCACTGGTTGTCCTCTGACACTCTGTGGACTGACGCATTTATTATCTGTTTTCTTACTGGAGTGGAAACTCAGTGAGGTGGAACTCGGTTGTGTTCCTGCTGTGCACTCAGTTCTTGGGAGAGCACCTGGTGTCTGGCGGCCCACAGTGCGTACTTGCTGAATGAAAGAGTTCTGGTCAGCCCCGTCAGATTCCCTTGTCATTTGATCTCTCTGGCTTTGACCTCTTATTTCACAGTGTTTCTGGCCAGTGACTTCTCCCATTGCTCTTCCAGCCTCTGGGACTTCCTTTTCATTGTAGACAACGTCCTGACTTCTTCTGTTTACATTTCTGCACCAATAACTGCTGCCCCTTTCTGACCGTCTCCCACACTGGGGAGGCTTAGGGAGGAGGTGGTGATGGTGGCACCTTCTTTCACCTGCCAGGGTTCCTGTGGGCTCCCAGCAGCAGGCTGTCCTGGATGCTCCTGACTGCTCCTCTGAGTCACTGTCAGTATTGTTTCCTGTCACTGTCCGCATGTAACGGGAGAACTTTGACAGGAGGCTCATAGTGGTCCTCTCCTCCTCAGTTTGTCATTCCCTAGGTTATTAAACTGAGGTTATTAAATAAGGCATGTGGCCCGCCGGCCGCGAGTTTGACATGCTTGCTATACAGTGTATGTCCATCACGCAGGTCCAAGGTCGCTCTCAGTTACACACTACCAACTGTTGCTTAGAAATCCACCTATGGGGTGCTCCCTAGACTTCATCATCACCTGAATGCTTTGATTTGAGAGTCTTGAGTCTTTTACTGTAGTCCCTGCACTGATGAGCCTTTCTTTCCAGCACACCTGGTCTTTGACTGTGACAAGATCTGTTTCTGGACCCATCCTTGTGGCCTGTCATGCCCCAGATCTGATAGAAATGAAATGGAATTTAATATTAAAGCCTTGTTTAACTGCTGTTTATTTTGATATGTGGTATGCTTATCTAATAATTATTGTCACATTAAGTAGTGATGCCTCTGTGTGTATAACATGTTATACGATTTTCATACAATAGACTGTTGTATTGCTCTCTCTGGTGCTGCCAGTACACTTTTTCTATGTGACCGGAGCTTCATGTTATGTTTAAACATGTGGAGGGGGGGGCGCTGGTAGCCTCTCTACCTGACTTTATTTTCAGAGTTGTCAGTGATGTCCTGGTTTTTATATATTCACATGATTTTGAAAACAATTTGGTCAAGTTATGAAAAGAAAAATCTCCACTGAAAATGGTATTAAAACTAGGTCACATAAATTAATATTTCATCTAAACTTAATATTAGCAAAATATTTAAAATGTTCACTTTGTAATAAATCCTTTTTTTCTATAAATACCAAGGATGTATTGTCTATTATTTAAAAAAAGATATGCAAAAAATGTAAATGATGTGTTAAATTTGTTCTGTTTCAGATATGTTTCCTTCTCTTTGCCATTCTTTACATCGTTTCCTATTTCATCATCACAAGATACAAGAGGAAATCAGGCAAGTAAAACATGTAATGGAAACTTTGATTTTCATGCTTGGTGGTCTAGGCCTGATACAAGGGCGCCACAGTGCCCGTCCGTGTGGCACTGTATTCACCATGCCCGTGCTGAAGCAAGCAGTTGCCTGGGACTAAGAGCACTAAAAATAACCGCCAGGGAACCTGACTACTGTAGGGTCATCCTCTTAGGCCTTAGCCCTTGTTTGTCACATTCTTAGAGCCCAGCTAAGAATAGTGCGGGCCCTTTCGTTCACTGGAAATTCCTGTGACGGGCTCTGAATTTGAACACACTCAGCCCCATCCCATTGTTGCTCTAACTACCAGAATACTTTTCTTTCTCTAAAGCAGGGGTGGGGAACCTTTTTTCTGCCAAGGGCCTTTTGGATTATAACATTTGCGGGCCATACAGAATTATCAACTTAAAAATTAGCCTGCTATGTTGGTCAGACATTTAATTAACTCACTCCGAATGCCTTGCCGGGGCCACACTGAATGATTTCGCTGGCCTTATACGGCCTGAGCGCCCGACGTGCCCCCTGCCCCCAAAGTGATACAGAATGTATCCCTAACTCCATATCCTTTCAGTATTTCATATATAGGGTGTCCCAAAAAATGTATACACACTTTGAATGATTATAAAGTCAGTGTTTATTAACATAGAGTTCATTTTAAAATTTAAAAGAATCTATAGAAATGAATTTTTTTTTTTTTTTTTTTTTTTTTTTTTTTTTTTTTGTCAATACCTGTTTCCAAACTGATGACCGTTCTGGTCTAGGCTCTGCTGATAACGGGAAGCAGTGGAATCGCAAACATCAAGAATCATTTCATTGGGTATTTGTGCGCCCTCAATTCGTTAACTGTTGCCGGTTTTGTACTGTAAACCTTATCTTTTATGTATCTCCACACAAAGTCTAGTGGATAAATTTTCTTTGTTCAAAGCTTAGTTGGCTTCACATATTTCAAATCAGTTAAACCTGAAAAGGAGTGGAAATTGAGTTATCAGCTGTTAAAGTGTGTATACATAATATACACTTTGAATAATTATAAAGGCAGTGTTGTACTTCAACTGCATTTTTAAACTTCCAGGAGCATTTAGGATGAATTTTCTTTGTTCAAAGCTTAGTCTGGCTGAAAAGAAAGAAACATCAATTGAGCCAGCAGCTGTTACAGTGTGTGTACATGTTTTGGGACATGCTGTATATCCTGTCGCGCCAGAGGGACCACTATATCTTTATTCTTTTTTAAAAGAACTTTTTGCTGTTTAGTAATTCACAGATTTTTGTGCCAGGGTTTTATAAGCACCTAAGCAGTTACCTTACTGCCTTCTGTTAAATCTCAGCTGTTTTCCAGAAATGATAGGATTTTCTGCCTGTGATGTTGTGCTAATACTAGTGCTGTATGAATACTTGGGGATTCCATATATTAAAGATTCCTTGCATTATGTTAGCCTATCACACTTGTCTGTCAGACATTTGAAAGCAGTCAGGGACTACTCTTTGCTCTGAGATGTTACTTTAGAACTTGGCTCTGTGACGGCACTGACAGACTCCTGGGATTCCGTAATCTCTCAAAATTTTGCAGACTTGGGATCCAAGACAGTATCTTAGCTAGTTTCAAAGATGTTTTGACATCAGATTTCATAGATTATGGACACAGAAGTAGAGCAGGGGAGAAAGAGAGAGAGAGAGGGTGGGGGGAGGCAGGCGATATTAATGACTGAATATAAAGCAGTGTTTTAGAGGAAATTAGGGATGATGAGCAGGAAAAGTGGAGGTTTATTAGATGCTTTTTTTGAGTAATCAAGGGGAGGAGGTGATGAGGACTCTGGACCTAGTTGGCGGAGTGTTGAGATGTAATTGACAAAAAGCATTTTTTAAGGTTTGATGGTTGATTGGAGAGGGCACCACAGTATAAAAGTCAGTTGTGACTACATTATTTTGTGGCCCCTTTGGTTGTAAAGCTATTTAGAGCAGCCTGTAATTCGGAATGGAGATTGGGCAATGAGAATGGCCCAAGTGGGCCATTGGCAGGGAAGCAGGTGGGCACTCAGAATTGCAGAGGCCTGCAGAGAGCCTTTGAGGACAAGCCCCGTTAGGCATCGGGGGGGACAGGGGCTGGGTGTTGTGCAGTGTCCTTGTAATTGGGTCAAAGTTTCTTGGTAAGTTTACGTGGGAGGACAGAGGAGATGGCTGGCAGCCGTGATGGAGGCTGAGTGAGCACCGGCAAAGCGGACATATTCTTGTATGTACCTTGGACAGTCATGATGAAGTGTGGTGCAGTGGGACCCCAGGTGGGTTAGGGTGGCCTACTGCCAATGACAAACTCAAATTCTAGGAAAGTACATGAGTCCTGAGTTTCTGAATTTTAATTTTATAGCAGACATTTTTTTTTTGGCTATTAACCAGAAAATCTCATTCATTAGCAACTTCACTTACATTTTATAACAGTAAGCGTGATAGTGGTCTTAAGGGCCTACTAAGCTTCATTTTCTTGAGCACTGAATGTTTGGGATATTTTAATTACATGTGGCTATTTTGTTAATAAGGATTTGGATTAATTAAAACACTATTCTTTTAATCATATTCTCTCCTATCTCATTTAATGAAATTTAAATTTGGATCTGTGCTGAAATAAACACAGTGCTGTTTAAAAATGTTTCCATTCAATAATTGCTGCTTTAAATTTATATGTTTGTTTGTTTTTCATAATGAATGAAACATCTTGTTGGAAGAGAAAATAATGTTAATACCTTAAACATTTTTGCAGATGAACAAGAAGATGAAGATGCCATAGTCAACAGGATTTCGTATGTATTTTAAAGTTTAATTGTGTTGTTTATAATTCTGGAGTCATAAATTCTCAAAATTTAATTCTACCTTTTGGGCAGAAATATGGAAGAAATTTACCTAAGGTATTACAACACTTTCATCAATATTAATCCTATCCTCAGAAAACACACATAGGCAAGTATGCATGAATAATGAAGGATTGATTATCTCCTGTTAAATTAGCTTATTTAAGGAGCCGATAGATTTTTTTTGTTAATCCTCACCCAAAGATATATATTTTTTCCCACTGATTTTTAGTTGAAGGGAGGGAGGGAGGGAGACAGAGACACATGGATTGGTTGCCTCCCTCACATGCCCCAACTGGGATCGAACCTGGGGACCCTTCAGTTCTCAGGCCGACACTCCAACCACTGAGGAAGCCAGCTAGGTAGGGCAAGCTGACAGGTTTTAATTTCAGAAGATTTAGCCTGGAAATGGGCTTCAGGTTGGGAAAGTTGCTGGGCCATTAAGAAAGCAAGCTCCCGGCTTCTGAATGGTCTGCTGAGCAGCCTGGACGGGTTTAGAGGAGGGAGCGCCATCTGTCTGGTTACAGACCTCCTATGAGCAGGGAGGTAGTCCTTTCAGGGCCCAGAGCTCTTCTGCTATGGACGCTGGTGATACAGGATAGAAATACCCTTTAATTTTTCTGAGGAATCAAACTACTCTAGGTGGAAAGCAGTGAATTCTTTTCTATCAGATTTGCTCAATGAAACTGAAATTCCACAGCTTTGCCTACTACATAGGAGACATCTGTTTTTTGATTGTTTTCATTGATACTTTAAAAATGTTTTGAAGTAGTCACAAATTTGCAGGAAAGTTAGAAATACAGTACAAAGACTTTTGTTCCCTGAGCCCTTGGAGAAGTTGCTGACTGGATGCTCCATTTCTGCAGGATACTTTTGTATCTAATTCCTATAAACAGTGAATTCTCCTGCAAGTCCACCATAAGCCACCAGCATCACGAAGTTGGCATTGACACAGTCCCAGCTGTGCTGCGTTTCAGTTTGCTGTTGTCCCCGTGATGTCCCTGGTTAAGAACCCCACACTGCAGGGAGCAGCTATGGCCCTGTGGTCGCCCGCAGATGAAACTCGACTTCAGTATTTCCTTTGACTCCCTGACCTTGTCAACACATTTGTACATTTCAGGCCGGTCATGTGGTTTGTCTGTTGTCCCTTCATGGTTAGTGTCAGATTACCCAGCTTCTGCTGAGGTGCTGGGGAGGAGGAGAGGAGAGGGGAGGGAGATAGACAGCATGTTCGTTCTCTCTCTCTCTCTCTCTCTCTCTCTCTCACACACACACACACACACACACACACACGCATGCACATGCTTCCCCCTACACAGGAGCATTACTTGGCCATGAAGAGGAATGCAGACACCTGCTACCACATGCACGAACCCCTAAGACATGATGCTGGGTGAGATGAGCCAGTCACCAAAGGTCACCAGTGTTGATTCCATTTATGAGAAACGTCCAGAATAGGTAAATTCAGCAAAAGCAGATTGGTGGTTACTAGTGGCTGAGAGGAGGAGAATGGAGAGCAACTGCTTAGTGGGTTTGGGGTTTTACTTTGGGGTGGTGAGAATGTTCTGGTTGCACAACACTGGTAATGTTCTACATCTACTGACTTGTTTGCATCAAAGTGGTTGATTTTACTCAGTAAGGCAATGCTTTCAACTAACAAAGGATTTGATTTATTACTGAAAAATGAGTGTGGACGGATCCTGCTGCACTGGATTTGGATTTAAATTATTTAAACACCCAGGGAAAGCAGCTGTGACTCCATCCTGGGCATTCTCTATATGGCTTTAATACTTAGGCCCAAAACGTGATGCTTTAAATGTGCAGGATTAGGGATCTTGGGTTTCAGTCCCAGCACATGATATTTGGGAACATTCTCTGTTCCAGTTCCTGCTCCCGTAAAAACACAATAACACACTCACTTCAGAAAGCCACAGAGGGTCCCACACTGGCTGCCCGGTGGACAGGAACTGTGTCCAGCGAAACCCTCCAGGTTGAAGTACTGAGGTTGCGCCTCTCTCCTCTGCGTGGTCTCTGTCCACTTTGGTGGTACAATTACTGAAATGCATTTGTAGATCAATAATTTATGAATCGATTAGTGCTGGTCATGTTGGCCATTCCCCTTGCAGTATAATTTAGGAAAATATGCTGTTTCCTGGTGGCAAGGCTCTGGAGGGGCCCGCCCCTCAACCTGATTTGGCCAGGCGGCGCGGTGTGTCTGAGTGTCATGTGATGACACGGACACCTTCCTGAGGGAGATGCTGTGCACCCACTGCAGAGTCAGGAGGCAGCCTGGAGGGGGAGGCACCCAGTCCATCCCCTGGACCCCTCACCCAGTGCTCTTTCTGTCGCGCACTGCCTGTTCTTCCTTCTGTGATGGGATGAGTGAGAACTAGACCTGGGTTCAAATTCTGAACCCGGATTCATTTGAGTCCAGGCAAGATGGAGAAGCCGAGACTTGTGTTTGGCACGTGAGCTGGGCCTGCGCCTGCTGTGTGGTGCTGCTGTGCGGATAAACAGCACAGGCACAAGCAGGGTTCGGGCTTCTGCACGGTGGCCGTGGTCTCAGGGTCGTCCCCTGCGCCCTGACCCTCTTCCTGGCCTTCCTTCCTCCCACTGAAGGGAGCTGTGGGGGCCCTGAAGAGGGTGAAACAGCAGAGGCTGAGCCTGAGCAGGAAACGTGGATATGGTCAGCGTTCTGAGAGTTCTGCAGTACGGTGCCTGCAAGCCGCCTGCACAGAGAGGGCTCCAGGGTGACTCCAGCGCTGCCGGCACGGAACCCCTCCTGTGCCTCCCACCTTGCTCCAGAGCCCACTTTCATGTTCTCGTTTGCTCCTCAGGGCCTTCATTCTGCCCTCTGTCTGTCTCCTTGTGCCCCCAGATTAACTCCCTCTGCCCTCCCCAACCAGAATTACACTTGCTCACAGCGACTCTCTGCTTGTCACTGGATTGGAATAGAAGTGGTTGATATAAAATGCATGCCTAACTGGCGAAACAGCCTGTGCGGAGCATGCCGAGCCCACGCAGGTGAACAGAGAGCCTCGCACGTGTCCCACCCTGGAGGGTGGTCGGAGTGGGCTAAGGGTTTGAAAGCAGGGAGGAAAATTCCCTGCAGAGGGCGATCCTGGCATGGGGTATCACCTGAGGGTGAGGTGGGACACCACATGTTTGGGGGTGCTGTACCACAGGGAGCCAGAGCCAGTGCAGGGTAGGGAGGGTGTCTGTGCAGGATGGCAGAGCCCTCGAGGCATGGCCTGGCATGGGTATGACAGCTCAGGTGGGGGGGGGGCATAGGGCAGGAAGGTCCAAAATGGGGGGTCACCTGAGCAGCAGGCACCTCTGCATAGGATGGGTGTCAGTGTGATGGGAGACTGATCGCAGATGTGGGACCGGTCCATTAGAGATGACGGGAACCAGTCCCAGTCGGGGCGAGGGGGACAACGAAAGGGAACACTGAGTTGTCGCAGTGGAGTTGGGGGTATTACTGTGGCCTCATGGTTTTCAGTACAGAGAGTTACTGGGTCACTGCAGATGTGCGTGTGGATGTGTGCATGTACACACAGTGCCAGTGCACCCTGGGTTGGCCTGCCACTGGGCCTGGGAGCGCAGCCCCCAAGAGCAGCGAGTGCCTCTGAGTACAGCTTTCAGGACAGGAGCAGGGCCCCGGAAAGCACTGGCTGCAGGGCTTCCGTGTACCTTGTCTTGTGGGGTGCAGGGACGTGCCAGAGGATGAGGGCGCATGTCAGAAAAACTCCGGCCTTCAAGGGCATTCTTGCCAAACCAGGGACAGTCTGATCATCACAGTAATGGGTGTAATGGATCCTGCACAGATGAATTAGTGCCTGAGTGCCCATGGCTGTCACCAAAGGGATAAGTTGTTTGACCAGGAACAGGACATGTTCTTGGTTTCCTTAGCTTCCCACACAGTGCTTATGATGAAAGGGAGGAGTAGGTTTAGCTTGGAGGGTCCTGGCAGACACCACCTTGAGCAGTGATGAGAGGACGTGACCAGTATGGGGCAGGCAGAGAGTCAAGGCCATTGGAGGGCCTGCCATGAGAAGTCCAGAGATTGTTGTGACAGTCGTCTCATGGACATGGCGGCCTGCAAGTGTCCCAGCTGAACTCCTTGTTCCTCCGCTGCAGCCTCCTCCATCGTGGCTGATTAGTGCGACTGTCTACATCCTCAGGCTAAAACCCAGGAGTGGTTCTTGACCCCTCTCGTCCCACACAGGTACTACGGTTCTGTCCACAGAGCCCTCCGTGCAGAAGGGGTGTTTCTTTCTTTCTTTTTTTTTTTTAAAAATTAAATCTTTATTGTTCAGATGATTACATTAGTTACTCTTTTTTCCCACCATAACTCCCCTCCACCCAGTTCCCACCCCTCCCTGACTCCCCACCCACTGTCCTCATCCATAGGTGCATGATTATTGTCCAATCTCTTCCCTCACCCCCACACCCTTTCCCCCCCTAGAATAGTCAGTCCATTCCCTTTCTATGTCCCTGATTCTATTACAATCACCAGTTCATACTGTTCATCAGATTATTTATTCACTTGATTTTTAGATTCACTTGTTGATAGATGTGCATTTGTTGTTCATAGTTTGTATCTTTACCTTTTTCTTCTTCTTCCTCTTCTTAAAGGATACCTTTCAGCATTTCATATAATACTGGTTTGGTGGTGATGAACTCCTTTAGCTTTTTCTTATCTGTGAAGCTCTTTATCTGGCCTTCACTTCTGAATGATAGCTTTGCTGGATAAAGTAGTCTTGGTTGTAGGTTCTTGGTATTCATCACTTTGAATATTTCTTGCCACTCCCTTCTGGCCTGCAAAGTTTCTGTTGAGAAATCAGCTGACAGTCGTATGGGTACTCCCTTGTAGGTAACTGATTTTCTTTCTCTTGCTGCTTTTAGGATTCTCTCTTTGTCTTTTGCTCTTGGCATTTTAATTATGATGTGTCTTGGTGTGGTCCTCTTTGGATTCCTTTTGTTTGGGGTTCTTTGTGCTTCCTGGACTTGGAAGTCTATTTCTTTCACCAGGTAGGGGAAGTTTTCTGTCATTATTTCTTCAAATAGGTTTTCAATATCTTGCTCTTTCTCATCTTCTGGCACCCCTATAATTCGGATGTCGGTACGCTTGAAGCTGTCCCAGAGGCTCCTTACACTGTCTTCGTATTTTTGGATTCTTTTTTCATTTTGCTTTTCCGGTTGGGTGTTTTTTGCTTCTTCGTATTTCAAGTCTTTGACTTGATTCTTGCGACCCTCTGGTCTGCTGTTGGGAGTCTGTATAATATTCTTTATTTCAGTCAGTGTATGCTTACTTTCTAGTTGGTTCTTTATCACAATATCGAGGGTCTCATTAGATTTCTTGAGGATCTCACTACATTTATCGGCGGTCTCACCAGTCTTCTTGAAGATCTCACTACATTTATCGGCGGTCTTACCAGTCTTCTCGAGGGCCTTATTAAGTTTATCGGCGGCTTCTAAACAGTTCTTTAAAGACCTTAAAAGTGTGGTTTTGAACTCTATATCCAACAGTTTGCTTTCCTCCCATTCTGTCGTTTGTGTCCTGTTTCTTTGTCTTGGCATTTTTTATGCTTCGCTGTGTCGATAGAGTGCCTTTCTGTGCTAAGTGTCCCAATTACCTGAGGTAGACACTCTTGGTGCACCCCCTTGTGGGCTTTGTGCACAGTCTTGTTGTAGTTAAGCCTTGATTGTTGTAGTTAACACTGTGAGGAATTGACCTCCAGGCCAATTGACTGTGAGAATCAGCTGTGTCTGCAGTGGGAGAGCTTCTGTGCTGGAGACACCCCTCTGGGGCTAGACTTGCTTTGATGGGGCTTTGGTGCTCACTGAGTCTGCCCCCTGAGTGTGTCTTTTATGGTTCCACGGAGCTGCAGACTGGATGATCCCACTCTGACCTCTGGGCTTCCTGGCTCCTGGATCTCTAGGGAGGTGCTAGTCTAGCCTTTGCCTGAGGCTATCCAGCAAAAGTCTCCCTGCAGGGCTTGGGTGGGGCAGGTCCCATGGGATCAACAGGGCAGGGTTAGCAATTATGGCTGCTCTCAGTCTTCCCCTCAGAGGCTCTGCTTCTCAGTGTCCCAGTAATCGCTGCGAGCCCCACGGAGAGAAAGCTGCCCTAGGGTTCTGAGCGATGCCAGACAGTCCCACTTCTCCCGTATGAGTCTGGGTCCCTAAAGACTCGCCCAAACTGGAGCTCAGAGCCTGAGATTCCCTCCCGATTGACAACGACAACCGCACCCTCAGCCCCCAGCCCGCTCCACCTGCACTCCGCACCTTAGTATTTTACTTCCGCACTGCGCCTCCTCTGAGTCTCGGTATGCCTTTCTCTTTCCTCCTAGTTGTAGAATTTCCCCTCAGCCAGCCTTCCTGTGGTTCTGGATGATGTCCGTTCCGTCTTTTAGTTGTATTTTTGAAGTGGTTGTTCGAGGCAGCAAACTCCGGTGTTTACCTATGCCGCCATCTTGGTTTCCTCTCCCAGAAGGGGCGTTTCTGAAACCGTCCATCACTTCCGAGGGCACTTTCCTGCAGTTCCATAAGCAGCCACCACTCTGGCTACATGGCAGGGCCTCACCTTAGGGACCCCACGCCATCACCTTTTAAAAAAAATATTTTTAAAAATTCATTTCAGAGGAAGGGAGAGGGAGAGAGAGAGAAAACATTAATGATGAGAGAGAATCATTGATCGTCTGACACTGGGGATCGAGCCTGACTGGGAATCGAACCATGACTTCCTGGCTCATAGGTTGATGCTCAACCACTGAGCCACACTGGCGGGTCCCCATCGGCTTCTCAGGGGCAGCCCTCCTCCTAGCCCAGGGCAGTTAGGGAGTATGCTGTGGTCTTTTTTGTGTCTCCAGGTCCAACCCCAGCATTGGAAATGCGGTGGGCTACAGTCTTGGTAAGAGCTGCGGTCCAGTCACGGTGCCCATGTGATCAGGGTTTCCTGGGGCTCTGTGACTTCAAATACTCCATTTGTTTGCCCGCAGAAGCTTTGACAGGTCAGGGCTTTGATATGGAAATTGTGGCTGGCCTTCATTGTTGGGTCTGTGGTCGAGTGTCATGGGAGCCAAGAGTGGGGGAAGGGAAATGCTGAGGGATGTATAGGGCGACCCTGGGGACAGAGCCGACGGTGGCCCTGGCCTGGAGCCCCAGAACCCACTCATGTGTGGGGCACAAGGAGGTTAGGTGACTGACTGTGGGACTGTGGTGGCGGAGAGGGGTGTGGAAAAGCCTCGGTGGCTGTGCAGCACCTGGTGTGACCGGCTGAGGGTTGATTTCATTTCTAGCTTTGGAAGGAGGTGATGGAAGCCAACAGGACACTTCCTCACTGGCTGGAGGACAAGACCGACGGCCCTCGCTCAAGGCCATTCGCCATCACTGCTGCAGGGGGAGTGGCCTGGCGAGGCTTGTGCTCCTGCTCTGACCAGGAGACACGCCCGTTAGCAGAGCCTTCAGGGTCGTCTCCTGGGTCTGGTTTGGATTGTGTTTTGGTGTGCGTCACGTGGTCTCATGTAAATCCATCAGTGACACTGAACAGGTTCCTGGTGGGTTGGCTCAAAGCAGGAAACACTTCTGTGGGCCACCACACGGTGGCATTGCTGCAAAGTTACTCCATCAGATGTGGATTTAGAGCAGGGGTCCTCAAACTACGGCCCGCGGGCCACATGCAAATACAAATATTGTATTTGTTCCCGTTTTGTTTTTTTACTTCAAAATAAGATATGTGCAGTGTGCATAGGAATTTGTTCATAGTTTATTTTTTAAACTATAGTCCGGTCCTCCAACGGTCTGAGGGACAGTGAACTGGCCCCCTGTTTAAAAAGTTTGAGGACCCCTGATTTAGAGCGTTTGTGTGATGGTTTTCCTTACATTTTCACATTCTTCCTATATTTTCTTTAATGGGATGACTATTAAATTAAGTTTCCCTCTCTAATGTTGGTGAGACTCCTGTTTTCTTTGCTATTTAAAAAAGATCTTGAAAAATAGCTATAAAAATTTAAATGTTGCAGACGTGGGACTGAGAGTGAGCCCCTTGAAGCCCGCTCTCCCCTGGGCTTCGTTCTGTGCTGTGCTGGGGTCTCCACCTCTACTTTCCTGTGTGTATTTGTGAGCTTTTTTTGCGGGGAGGGGCATGCTTTCTATTTATCATCTGTCTTTCCTTCAATTTGTGTTCCTGACTTGTTTTAGACACCTTTCTAAATTAGTACATATTAGAGATATTTTTTAAAATGATAGAATAGTGTTTTAAATACTGTCTAATGATCCCTACTGTTGATTAGTACAATTTATTTACACTTTACCCATTTTAAGGGGTAGCAGACCAGTGGCTTTGTAAGTTTGCTCCTGAAATACGAGTTTTTCATACTGCATTCACAGGTATTTTTTCACCTAAAATAGTTGTTGCCTTGCTTTTAGCATAGATTGCCAAAGCTTTTAATCAAATGCAATGTGAAATGAACATCACTTTTAAAGGAGGAGAGAGCCTACAGCTCATTCTCTGCGAGTGTGTGAGGCCTCTGCCTTCGGTACATGTGTCCTCTGGGGCCTCCTCGTTAGATCCACCAATCTCTGCAGAGTGAGGTGCTCTAGAGTTGATGTAGCTTAACTCTTAGGATCACGCATGTGTCATTTGTCTTCCAGTTGCATAGATTTCATGAAATTCTCCCATAATTTTTTTTAGATAAAAATTTCAGAATTTTTATTCGTCTTGAATGATGGTCGCATCCCCTGCTTCCCGGTCGCTGGTGACACGCCTCTCTTCTCTTCCAGGTTGTTTCTGTGCACGTTCACACTCGCAGTGTCCGCTGGGGCTGTGCTGCTCTTACCCTTCTCCATCATCAGCAACGAAATCCTACTTTCCTTTCCTCACAACTACTATATTCAGTGGCTCAATGGCTCCCTGATCCATGGTTAGTATGTGTGGCTTCATCACCATTAATGTTTTAATTTTGTACTGCACTGTATTTTTAGGTTTTCCTTTTCATAGTTTCTTCATAATTTGCATCTTTCTTTGATAAATCACTTGAGTCCTTAATAAAATCAGAAAACCAGATTTTATTCACCTCCCTTTTCCTGTTAGTTGTGAAAGGCTTCTCTGTTTTACTTACTCAGGGAGTAGTTTTAATACTGACCAGGATTCTGATAAGTACATTTTAATTTAAATATTTAGCAAGAGAATTTTGGTTTTATCTGAACATGCCAGAAGAACCCAACCTCCATTGAAAACCTGAAAAAGGAGCCAGGTTTCCATTGTATTATTTGCTGTTTCTCTAGACATTTCAGAATGTGTGGTAGAAGGGGAAACTCTTTTATCAAGTACAAACTTTAAAGTTCATGTGGTTTTTAATACAATAATGAGTTATCATAGGCAACATGGTGTATTACTTTAAAGCCAAAGAGATCTGCATTCTAATCTTAGCTCTGCCATTTTCTAGAAATTTTTAGTGAGGTAGGGCATTTTAATTTGTAATATACTGTCTATCTAAAAAGGTCTAATGTGTATATTTTTATGTCGCATAGTCCCTGCTCCTCCTTTTTTTCTATATTGAACTATGTGATCTCTTTATGTGTCAAACACAGCTTTTATCCGATTTTTATAGATATGTTTTTCTAGTTGTTATTTTGCTTTTGAATTTTATTTGTTTTTTTTTATTTATATAAGTTTTACATTTTTATGTTGTACAGTCTTTTCCTTCCTTTGGTTTCTCTAATGGTTTTTGTGTTTAGAAGATCCCTTCGCTTCCTAAGATGTGACAGATACTTCCTTTTTCTCTGTTGGAGTGTTGTCCTGTACAGCTAAAGGGATGTGGGTTTGATTCCCGATTGGGTTGTGTACAGGAGGCAATTGATTGATATTTCTCTCTCACATTGATGTTTCTCTCCCCCCTCCCCCCTCAAATCAATAAATATATCCTCAGTGAGGATTAAAAAAATTTTTAAAAATGGTTTTGTTTGCATTTAACTGTTTAATTCACCTGGAGTTTATACATATACCTTTTCTCTTACTCCTTTGTATGTATTTAAAGAAATACATGTTTGCTGTAGAAAATTTGGAAAACAACATTTATAGGGAAGAAAATCACTCTTCTTCACAATCCTATGTGGTGGGAAGTACTGTGGACACCGTGGCCTGCAGCATACCACTGACGGAGGACCCCTGCTGTGCTCACTGCTGCCTTGTGTCCTTCCCCATCCATGGCTGCAGTGCCACTTAGAGCCATTATGATCATGGTTCTTCCAGGTTTTTAATTAGAAAGCTACAATTGTCACCTTATAAATAAATATTTGCCCTTAAATTTATGCAATTCACTTTCCAGGTAAGCATACTTTACAAGTTTTTAAAAAGAGATTTCCCCTTTATTCTTCAGAAAAAACTGTACGAATTTTTCAGGCGGCTTCATCCTGGCCAGTATGCAAGTGTCTGTGTTCCCAGAGTGTGTCTTTACCAAGTTTGGTTGTTAGTGAAAACAAACCTACCAATCGAATAGAGGAAACATTTCCCCTTAAATTTCTATTTCCTTAGTTACTAGTGCAGGTGGACATTTACAAGGCACACTTATAGGTCATTCATATTTTTTAGTAAATTGCCTACCTGTGTTCTCTTTGCTTATTTTTGCAGTGTTTTTATTTTAAGTAATTAGTTGTCTATCAGGTTAATTGCAAACATTTTCCTCCCAATTGTCCTTTAATATTGCTTAAGCTGTTTTTTGACATAAAAATTTTAAAATTCATTCTAATTGCATATTTTAATCTGGCCTTGTGGTCACTGTCATGCTTGAAACTGGAAACAATGGAGTCGTTGACACTCTGAGGACCAGATGAATTTAGTAAGGTTAGGACTAGTTATTAAGTGAATAAAAAAATTACTCTATTTTTCAATTGGCTAGCAATTGAAAAACTCAAATAAAAAATAAGGTGTTTACTGAAATGGACACAGAAAGTAAGTCTGAAAAGTCACCTGTTACTCTGAAAGGCAGGAAGCAGCCTGGAAGGTCATGGCTGCGGTTCCTGGAGTTGTCTTTAGGTGACAGAGCTATTTGTGATGAGCAAACACCTTGGTGGCCACATATAATCCACAGGCGGCTCTTGTATGTGCTGTCCAGCGTGTTTGGGAAGACTGGCAGCTTCCCTCTGGGCCGCTTTTCTGTGAGACTGTGGGGGCCACGTGCTTGCCTTCCTGAGAGCCGGGCTCCGGGTTTCCACCGGCAGTGAGGTGGCTAAGGCTGGGCTGACCGGTGTGACAAGTGCATTTACCTTTGTTTTCAGTTTTATTCGTAGAAATGGCATGCTGTACTAATGGCCTTCATTTACTCTAAATCAGGGCTATTTCCTTGTTCTGTTTATGGACAAGGTAAGAGCTATCAACACATGACGTGCCCTATATTTGGTGCAAGAGGCCTTCACCTTGGAAGTGATATTTGTTTGTATGGGTTGTCTTTCTCATTATGATGTAAGGGTGTAAGCTCAGGCATGTAATTTTGTTTTTAAACCAGGGCTTAGGACAGTGCTTTCCACAGAGTGGTTGCCCAGTAAACATACACTGAAGGATTGCACTACATAAGACAAAAGGATGTTAATGTATAGTAAACACATGAGCTGAAAGTTGGGGAGCAAGAGGAAGAAGCATCTAAATGATGGTATTGCTTCTAAATCGTTCTGGGCACAGTCTAGGCGGCCTGGCTGCCAGCCCTGGGGCTCGCTCTGGAGGCTTTTATGACCCTGGTCTTCCTTCCACTTTGATTCTTTGCTCGATCTGTGTCCTCTGTTGCATGTAGTGAATCTCCTGAAGCTTCCCACTCGTCTTTGTCTTCTGAACTTAGCGCTTTCTGTAAGCTGTGTCTGACATCCGAAGGAATGCTCACTAGTCCCTCCGGTTGTCTTGAGGCTGAAGAGCTGTCAGTCTGAGATGCTTGCTGCTTGGCTTCTCGGAAATGATACCCATTAACAAGGCCACACTGTTGTGAAGCAGACGCAGGAGAGCCGATGGTGTCGTTCCGGTCCGGTTGGAAGGCCTGAGAACCAGGGAAGCTGGTGGAGTCAGTTTCAGTCTGAGTCTGAAGGCCAGGGAAGACCAGTATCGGAGCGGGAGACAGGCAGAAAGAAAGAGTTCCGGTTCCTCGGCCTCTTGTTCTGTTCAGGCTCCCACGGATTGGGCGGGCCACCACGTGGGGAGGGCAGCCTGCTGGCCTCAGGCTACCAGTGCAAACGTGGATCTTTTATTTTTATTTAAAAAAATATATATATTTTATTGATTTTTTACAGAGAGGAAGGGAGAAGGATAGAGAGTTAGAAACATCGATGAGAGAGGAACATTGATCAGCTGCCTCCTGCACACCCCGCACCGGGGATGTGCCCACAACCAAGGCACATGCCCTTGACTGGAATCGAACCCGGGACCCTTCAGTCCGCAGGCCGACGCTCTGTCCACTGAGCCAAACCAGTCAGGGCACAAACGTGGATCTTTTAGAAACACCCTCGCAGGCAGACTCAGAAATTGATCAAATATCTGGGTACCCTGCAGCCCCATCACATTGACACACAAAATTAACCATCACAAGTCTGCCCTTTGTTACCAATTTTCCAGTCACGTTCTTTCCAAGATCCTGACCATCCAGCCAACCTATTGGTCGCAGCCATGAATCAGCATATAGTCACACGTCTGGCCATGTTTCCTTCCAAGCAAAGGAATGACCAGGTGCACTGCTCGAGGTCCCGCCCCCTGGCAGATTTCCTCAGCGCTGCCCCTCAGAGGTGTCCTTAGAAGCAATGCCTTCCTGTGCTGCCTGCACGGAACCCAGGCCCAAGTCTTCTCCGCTGGCAGCTCACTTTGGGGCCCTCCCCACGAGGGCAGGGTGCATGCGGGAGAGAAGGATGGAGACCATGGGCATTTGGGCCAGTTCCTCCCATAGCTCACTTGTGCCTTCAGGCCTGTTCAGGCCTCATGACACATGTGCCACTTCCGTTTGTGTACAAAGGGCTGCCATGCATGCCCAGCTATGTGCCTGGTGGATCAGATGACATGCTGTTCACGTTGAGCAGCTAGGTCACCTGGGAAGCCCATGGGCAAGTGTTCAGTCTCTGCGGAGGCCCAGGGGCTGCAAGAGCTGTTTCTCAAATGGAGGGTAGTTATCCACACAGCACAGAGGCTTTCCTCCAGAATCCTACGGGCTTTACCCATTGGTGCTGTCCAAGGCTCCACACGGCACCCAGGTCTGCCGTGACACTCCAAGCACGGGGGGTCTGCTGGCTCATGTGGCCCAAGGGCAGAGCACAGCCTGGCCCGTCGCAGGGCTTCCTCTCGTGTTGGCCCCACTCGCAGCAACTCGCAGCCTTGCTGGCCACATGGTAAAGGCCCCGAGGAACACACCCAAGTGAGGAATGTTACCGCCAAGATCCAAAGAGGCCACTCGGCATGTGGGTTAGTTTTGGTGGTCGGAGGGTCAGGTGCAACCACATATCCTTCTCCCGGGAGGGCTCTCTCAGGGTGCCCAGACCCTGACCCCTAGACATCACTGAGGTAGGTGGCCCTGGAGTTGGTTGGATTTCTTTCCCCACCTCTGACACACAGATGGATTACCCACACATCTAGAGCGGTTGCTACTTCTTGCTCACCAGGTCCAGTGAGCACAGTGCCGTCTGTATAATGGGCCTGGATGATGGGTGTGGAGGAAAGGCGAGCAGATCCCTGCAAACTGCATTGTGACTCAGGCCGGTAGAGCTGTGGGCCCGAGGTGGGGCAATGGAGGTGATTGCTGGCCTTGCCAGCTGAGCAAACTGTCTGGAGGCCTTAGGGACAGCGCTGGAGAAGAGGCAGCCACAGTAGTACAAACGAGGGGCTGTGTTAGTTTTCTTAGGCAATGACACCACATCTGGTACAGCAGCTGCAATAGGAGGCCATGGCCTGACCAAG